TGGAAATATATTCACAATCAACATCAGAAGACAAACAACATTTTATGCAAACAAGATCTTCAGTAAGTAGTCCATTAATTCGCTTGTTTAAAATCGATCTGTAATTCGACTCTTTTTTCTAGCGTGATCCATCTGAAATTTGTCATATCACCGAATTGTATGATCCACATATTAAGAATATCAAATTTATATTACCAATGTATTATTTTCCTGATGAGCAATTTCATACACCGTCCATGTTGAAATTTTTGAAAGAGTGCGGTTTAAGATCGTACATTCAGATTGATAAATGTAAGCAGATAATGGATTCGATTCAAACACAAGTTAAAGAACATGGTTGGACGCCTGAACAGAGAAAGCGTTCGAAATATTTATATGAACATCTCTTAGATAACTGGCAACGATATGATAATTCAATATTGGATATTAAATTTTTAGGTAAGCACCATTTATACAGTAAAGGAAAGCAAAACTTGGTAAAGGTGATATAGATATCAGAGTAGTAGAATAAATGATCTGCTAAACGATGTATGTACTGCATTCCATTTTTACTATCAAAGGAAAGAATATTGTCTAGTGTGCTCGATGGCGACTGAGAGCTGTCAGACTTTTCTCGTTAGACATTCTACAAGCCGACTTCATTCTTGTTTCTCATTAATTTAAGTCAGCATTACCCTGTGAGGTAGGCGCTTCAAAGGAAACAAGTCGTTTTACCTTTTCTGTTCTACCAGTTAAAGACTGTCGTGGCTGCTGTTAATGACCAGCCAGTTATCTATCAAGATGATCATTTCATCTAATAGCTTTCTATTTCTCATTTGAGTCAGACAGGATGCAAAACGTCAGAAAATCGTCACTTCAGTTTAAACATGTTTGGGACCACCTGGCATCACGGTTTTACAGTTTTCGGACAGCATGTTCAGTACCGTCTGTGGTATTCCCATTCACTTTCTAGATCAAAAAATGAGACAGTCGACTGTCTGATGGTGATCAATTGCACCAGATCTTTCGAAGAGTGGTGCATTTATCTTAGATCACTTCTACTCAAACGAGTTCTCCCTCTTTTTCCACTTTCAACTCTACAAAATCAGACGACACATGTTTCTAAACGACACACAGGCAGAAAAAGAGTTCGAGCCGAAAAAACAAGTCACGTTCTAGACTCACTGTAGAAGAGAGTGAACAAGCAGACAAGATGGGTCATACTCTCCGCTCACATTTTCGAGAAAATAATATTTACGGGATCATAACAGTCTACTATGTTTACTTCAATTGTTCTTTCGCACTGACAACCGAGGTGCTCCACAAAAAACGCCAAGTTAGTGCGAGAAGAAATCCTTTGTTTTCTGCAACGTGTACATCGTATATTGCCAATCTCAGACTCGTTTCTACATCTTTCTCTTTACATTTGTTTTTGTAGAACCGTATCGAATGATCTACGAAAATGACGATCTCTTACAATTACACGAACAATATACGGTCTCGGATGATGTGAATCAGTTAAAATACACGTGTATCAAATTATCCGATGGTGAGCTCCTTCAATATTCGAAATTATGTTGGACATCTTCGTACTTATTACCAGAATTTGTTCGTCTCGAACAATATTCTGATGATACCGACCAAACACAGCAAATAGATCAAAATTGTTTAGACTTTTTCAAATTAAACAAAAAGCCGTCTTACGCACTTGTTAAAACAAATCTAACAAATTTATGTGAAAAATTTTCATTAAAGTATAACAATCATACACAACAAAAACAAAAAGAAAGAAGGTATTGATGTTTAGATCACTCATCGCATGGTTCCTTTCAAAATATTTTTCCTCTTTTTCTTTAGCAATCTAAAATCTGGCTCATCCGCATCACAACATATCATTGACGATATTCTTATACCCGTTTTGAAAGTGATTTATTCGTATTTTCAAACAGAAATTAAACCTGAACGGCGAACAGAGATCTATAAAGAATTAACAAATAAAGAATGTGTTTATTCTAGAACACGTCGACAATTTTTATATGGAAAATATTTTTGTATAAATTTACCTATTCAAGATGAAATACCACCATTCTTGTTCTCGTTACCCGAGGAATTTGTAGAATATAAAAGTTTCTTTCAACAAATTGGTGCACAGCAAGAACCTCATCCCATGTTATACGGTGATATTTTGCGGAAACTATCAAAAGTATGTGATACAGATTATCTGAATTCAAACGAATTATGTAAATCACTAAAAGCTATGGAATGTTTTTTCAAATATTTGTCAACAAATTCAACGATAACAGCACAATACAAGTTACCAGGTAAGAATTCACGTGTGCTGGCCTTCGATCGGCTGAGATTGATCGTTCATTTTACTGACTCATTAATCTAGGTTTATATTTGGTATCAAATGATTTTAAATTAATAAAATCGATCGATATTGTCATTATGGACGATAAAACAAAACTTGACTATATGACAAAATTAGTGCACGATAAATTTATGTTTAATCCAAACGAACGTGTCTTAAAATTAGATCAAACACCGTCAAGTTCATCAACATCAAAATCTCAAACATCGACAGCACTTAAAGATATCATTGATAAAATATTTGTTAGTCAACGACCCATATTATTTACACAAAAATATGAAGAGTCATTTTCGATTACGATACCGGAAGATGAAGAATCACATCGACAACGATTCTTATTCAATTTAGGTAGGCTATAATTAGTCCATGTGTTCGGACAAGTTCTGTTGCAATTTAACCCTCTAAAATCTTCGGGCTTCTCCAATCCACTTCTGATAGAGTCTTCATGATAATATGTCTTCTGAAATCAAGATCTTTTTTTGTTCATATCACGTTTCAATTTAAAATCTGAAAACGACAATCTTTTGTGACCGATCTTAGATTAGACCTAGGTTAGCGCGGACCATTCGCTATGGACAGGTTTGGATGGAAAGAAATTTTTTTCTGGAAAAAATTCCTTTTTGACACTAAAGATTGAGAGTAGATAGGACTCTTGTCAGGCACTTTAGGCTGAACGTTGTCNTTACATGTCTCTGTTTTCAGAACGTAAATACAATCAGTTATTAGCGTCTCGTCATTTACATCGCTGTATGGCACGTGTCATTGCTAACCATGTAGCTCGTCAGACAAATCCGAAAATAATATCATTGGACGATGTTGAAAATCTTATTCGACAACGGTTAACGTACGTGAAAGTTACATGCGTTGAATATTTAGAAACAAATTTAATTTATAAAAAAACACAACAAAAAGTTGATCAATCGGTTGATGAAAAAGCTGTTTATCTCGTTGCTGAAGGTGAAGAAAATATTGTGTTGTACATATCGATGAAACATACTGAACAACCGTATTTTACATTATGTTTGGCTCGAGCATTAAGTCCATGTTTGGGTTTATCCGAATTACAATTGGACAATAGTGTAATGGCAGCACTGCTGGCAACAACAATTGGACAAATGTCAAAGTTGTTAAATTTGGTCAATGTAGCAACAGATGAAAATATTTTATCGATTTTGAAAATGCAGTATATTCCTTCGCCCGGAAATGTTTACGGTGATGATATTGAAGCGTTACAAGTATTTAGTATCGATCAACATCAGATATTACCAGGTAATTGAGTGTCATTTATTTTCTCAAGTAATCTGTAACCCGTTATCTATTTCAAGGTGATTTATGCGTCTATAAATTAAATGACTTGTACATTTATTGTGAAGTAGAACGTATCATTAAAGAACATTCATCTAGCTCTAAAAAGTCATCTTCTGGAAAAGACGATAATGATGAGTGGTCATGGAAAAAGAGCGGTGCTCATTTACCCTCGTACACATTCATATGTAAAATAAATGAAAACAACGAGACACAACGCATTGAACAAGATCAGTTTTATGTGTTGGAGCATTGGTCGAGAATATTTGATGCCGTTTCGTCAGTACCACCAGATGAACGTGAATCATCTAAATTTTCAACAGATAGTAAAACCAGTCGAGAGTCATCAGCATCAGGTATGTGTATGAGAGAAAAAAAACGAACAGCTTTTATTTTGTAAAGCCGAATGACGACGAAAAATTCGGTTGTAAGCTTGAGTGCACTTTGATCTCTCTAATTTTGATGCTTTGCCGCTTGCTGTTTGTTTGACATACGTACTATTACAAGCTTATAAAACCCAAAAGAGACTAATCACAGACGTGCGCGGAGTACCATCAACCCATTTGACATCTGTCATAGATTCAATGTGTGTACGTGTAAATGATGATATATGACGAATGAAGTGGATGTTCATATTGTTAATGTATTCAAATGTGATGTAGAATGAGAAAATTCTCGTTTCAACGTCTGTTTTAACTCATAAATTCTATATTGCACAAACTGCTTTGATGTCATTACTCAAACCAGATGATAATTTTCGATTTGTTGTTTTGTACGCGCATTCCAAGGTAAATGGACTTGAATAACATGAACAAAGGTTCGCTCTAAACATATTTTTGTCGTCATTCGGCTAGTCTAACTAAAAAGGGATCCGAGTTCTAATTCGTTGTGTGTGACTATTTTTCTAGGTGCATCTAAACATGATCGTGATGCGGCCGGTGGTGATGGAACTCATAACACTCATAATTTTCACTTTTCTTCTTCTAATCATAACTCTTCTTCCGCTAATCATCGTTCATCACGTCATCATCGTGGAAAAGGCGATAGTAAAACAGATTCAGGACCAGCAGGAACTAATGGTCATTCGTCCTACACACGTACAGATAGTGATTCATCAAATGGAACAGGATACGAGTCTCCATCTGAATCCGAATCATCTTCAAACACTGCTCAACAGCAAGATTTGATCGATAAAAAAGAATTGGAAGATACAAAATCTGAAATATACATGGCCGTACGAAATGCCTATCAGCAAACTGGCCCAGAACGAAAGAAAACAGTGAAAAAATTGTTGTTAAAATGGCATCCAGACAAAAATCGGGGACGTGAACGTTTTGCAGCAGAAGTCTTCAAACATTTGAGAAAACAGATTGATCATTTTGAAAACGATCCATTAACTTCGTTCTTTAATACATTCAACAACTTTCATCGTTCACCATTTTCAGGTAGGCAAAAGAAGGAAAAAAACCAAATGAACTAAGAGCAAGATTTGTACAATAATATCATATGAGAGTATACTTTCTAACGTATAGCTGCTACTCTATTTATACAGACTTTTGCTCTTATTTCGATTTGGGATTTTTGTGCTTCTACTGTCATCAAAAGCCACTTCTTTCGCTTTCGTAGCCAGTGATCCGAAATTTTCTTGGAATAAAACTCATAAAACAGAATCGTCAACTGGTGCAGGTGATTCAGCCACAGCAGACTCTGGTGCAAAACCCTCTTCATCGTCGACATCAGGGGGGACTAGTGGTGACTATTTCAGATATGGAAGTTTTGAAAATGATGATGTCAAACGTTCGTATCAAGATATTCCACGCGCACAAACAACATCAGAAACAACAACTGATTCAGACACACAAGCAAATGGTGGTGGAGCATTTTCAGATGGTACCGGAAAAACGCGTTTTTCACCACATCGTTCATCATCGTTTCGTACTGCCAGAGAAGAATGGGCTTACAGACGACAACATGGATTTCAACGAAGACATGGCTTCTTTTCTGGAACAGAAGAGCAAACAACTAACGGTAGTAGTGGCACGACAAATGGTGCACAATCCGGCACACAAGGAAGTATGTAGTGTTTTCTAATTTCATTCTCAATGCCAAACACAAATTCTTAACTCTAATCGCAGATCTTAAACACGTGTATTATCAAAGCATGCAACACGCACAAGTGATGATGATGATGTTAATGATTGATCTATC